CCTGTGGATTCGGAATGAATATTCGATAAAAATGATAGAACTTTAAAATTTATTTTTGCAGTTAGTACATCTTGCTAGGACTTCTTTGGTTAAGTAGTAAGTGATTTTGCTTTGCAGCACAAGGTGCCAGGACCTTTGGTGCCAGGACTTTTCTCATCAAATTACAAATATATCGTCAGTATTAGATAATTTTTAATAATAAAAATATATAAACTAGTAAAGCATGTTATTGTGCCTTAAGGCAAATTGTTGGAACTTCCCGTACTGACAACCAAATTATTAAAAAAAACCTTGCAAAACTTTTTAATTTTTTTTTTTTTTATTTATTTTGAAAAAAAAATGAACTTTTTTTCTAAGCAATCGCACTGCATAGCTGATTTGGAATTGAAATATCAAAGCGCGTGAGCGCCGTGTAGTCGTCTAACGTGTAAACATTGGTACGGAACCCATATAAATGTACACAAAATATGTACTTCTTATTAAAATCTTTATAAGATATCTGATAATACGATGTAAATATGTCTAATGTTTTATATTGTTTTAACCGCCAAATGGCATTATTTTTCACTATTTCCGTTGGATCTGCCGAGACGTTGGACCTGTTCATACAAAAATTTCTCTAGTTGTTCACTTTGTCAATATAAGTAAAATGCTTTTTGAATTATTTAAATCGGACGCTCTGTTATTTCAAAAACTGAAATACCATTTTTGGCACTTTTCGCTGCATATCTCCGAAATGGCTGGACCTGCCTTTGCCAAAAACTAATCAGCACGTGTCCCTATCAATAGGATTCGAATATTATGTGAATTATTCAAATCGGTTAATCCGTGTTCTCGAAATCGTCAACAAAAACTTGTATCCGCACACACACACACATTTTTTCTAAGTTATGCTAAAATGTTCAAAAACCTCTGAAACGTAAAGGTATATAAAAATTTTATTTTCGAAAGTTAATTATAATTAGGCCAACCATTGGGTTTAGAAGTATCATCAAAGTATTATAAAACATTCAAGTTCTGATTGATGTTCAAAAAAAGTTCTAATTAGTGTTTAAAACAAAATTAAAAAACCTATAATTTATATTCTAAAAGTTCAAGCTTATTACAAAAAATTCATTTTACTATTAATTCACATAATAAGCAAAATAAATAATAAATAATTGGCGGCAAAAATGTTTGATGAATAAATTGATGAATTTGTAATTGAAAAACTAGTTGTAAGTTGCATTTTGCCATGAGATAAGCAACTTTAACTTTTCGACATATGTAAATAATAATATATCATCGGTTTAATCAATCATAATCTATAAAACGGCCCATTTCTGCCCAAACCTAATCAGAAAGATTTCCAAATGATATCTTTCGAATAGTATTTGAATTTTCAAAATCATAAATTTTTGCTCTTTTCTTTTTGCATAAACAACGCCAGTGCTCACCAAGATTCATGGAATAGCCTAAATTTTTGAATTCGGCTCAGTTTTTGAGAAAACACCAAAAAAATGCGACTCAATTTTTCAAACTTCGATGAATTTGCAAAATTAAACAACAAGACCATGATATATACAGTCAAAAAAAGTTTCACAAAAATCGCCGATTTTTTTGTCAACAGTTAAATACAAAACCAAGACTTAATTGCAGGATTACTAACCAATATCTTTCTAACGGTGTTTGAATTGAAAAAATCGATTCCGGATTGTGAGATAAAACGTCGACAAAAATTTTTACATTTTTTCTGCCAATTACACAAATGATAAATTTTTGAAATTTAAAATTTTTGGAATCGGTTTAGCCGTTTTTTAGAAAATGTCGACGAAATCACATACAAAAAGGTCACAAATAGGCTCACATTCAAATTTTTTTGTAATTTTGTAAAATTTGGTTTTATTCAATTCAGAATGACTTGAAACATCGTGAAAACTTAAAATTAGCAAATTGGATTTTGTCGCGAAAACAAAACTGGAGAGGCCACCGGGAAGTAAATAAGAATATTTTGATCAATTAATGTACTTATCAATACAAAATATTCATGAATAAACTAGTATATTCTAAAAATATATATATCAGAAGACCTGGGATCTTTCTCGTGCGAGAAAGTACACTCGCCTATTAAATCCCTTTTCAAGTTTTCACTTTCACGCAAGACTGAACATCAGATGACGGAAATAAAGGATAGCAACTGAACTTCATTAATCAGAGTAAAATAATTGGAATTTAAAATATTTAATTTGATAAACTATTCCATTCATTAAATCTGTGAATCATTGGGTTAAAACTTTATAAGGATTTGATAGTCCGGAGGATCTGTATGGTTTTTAAGATCTATGTCAATTTCAGTCACACGGCAAAAATCATCTCAACTAAAAGACGGACTTTTATCTTCAATAAAAAAATAGATGAATAGTGATTTAACACTGTCCGAATGTGTGTATCCGGGCGAGCAAACGATCAGTGAATTATTCCCCAGGGGTTTCCGGAAGGTCAAGACTGTAATAAAATAAAAAGCTCAAGAAAAGACGTAATCTCAACCATAATCCCAATAATGTGTCTTTCCACTTATTATTAGGAGAGAGGTCCTAATATAAAGTTCCAAATGTGTCATCATTAGCATCGACGCAGATCAATTCTCATTAAGGTTTGAGCACGAAGAATGCTGGAGAGGAAAATTGGCAAAAATATTTTGTGAAAAACCTTTAATTGAATTAGTTGATTTGGTATTAAAACTAAGTAGGTTGCGGAAGCAGTATAATTATTTCACTTTGATAAATTGAATTACTAAATTATTCAATTATAAGATTATACATATTATTTGCAAAATGTTGTTGTAACCACTCATTGGATACTATTCCAATCAGGCAAATGCATCCAAGAAATATAGGATCATTATAGATACCATAACTTTCACAAAAATTACATTCCTTCTGTACAAATATTTTATATTAATTTGAAATTTTATTTAAAAAATGTCGACCGCTTAGTGCTCACTTTTCTTGCAATAAAATTTATTTTCGGCCTCCTGTGGTTATAATATAGATGTCTGGCAATTTCCGAGATAAATATCCTGTACAGTATGAGGACATTAGCCCTTTATCAAAAAGGAAATCTAAATATAGAAAGGACAAAATGCTATCATTAATTCCCGTATGTTGAAATTAATAATTTTTTGGTTTTGGAATCAAAGGTGATGCCAAAATTTGGAAGTGATTGCTTTGTATTAAAGCAAATGATGCCAAATTAATTAAGTACATATTTGGCATAATAATTAAGATTTCCAAGAATTTGTTGATAAAGCTGATATCCGTTTTTGGATAATATATTCAATATTATAATGTATGTAACATAATGGTGGAGTGGTAAATAAGTCTACCCTTGGGTATTATGGGTACATCATCATTACACATTTCACATCAGTACATTTATAGGTAAAAAATACAAAACAATGTCTTGTTTTTGTTTTTTTAGGCGCTTTGATAATTTGAATTAATAGTCCTCTATTCCACAGTCAGTGCCACAATTATATATATATTATATATATATATATATATATATATATATATATATTATATATATTTATATATATAATAAATAACTAATATCACCTAGCTATAATTTCTATTTGTCTCTGAAGAACTATTTATATTCAGGTATATAAACAAGGTAGTTTTAAACAAATAAAAAATAAATTAATGACAATATCATTCTTGAGGTCATTTCTGTATAATTTCATTTAATATTTATACATGCATAACCACAATTGGCACACTTCCTAAGTATGCTTTAAATTTAGTTATATAAATTACCAACGAGTTAAATGTTTGTCATTAATTTTCGAATTTATTACATTTTTGTCTTCAAAATTTTTTATACCATGTATTTTATGCTAAATATTGTATCCAAAGATACATTTAGACATTTTTATTATTATGGAACATAATGTTAAAAAATGTGTTCAACTTAATTGTTAACTTCCTGTAGGATAAGTTATAGTAATCGCAAAAAATTCGAAAATAAAAATTTTTGCATATCTTCACATTTTAAAGATTTCTGAACATTTTGTCATACTTTAGAAAAAATGGATGTTTGCGTGTGTGTTTGTATGCATGTTTGGATACAATTTTTAGTCCACGATTTCGGGCGCACGACTCAACCGATTTGAATGATTCAAAAAACATTCGATTCCTATTGATGAGAAAACGTGCTGATTAGTTTTAGGTAAAGACAAATCCAGCAGTTTCGAAAATACGGGGCAAAAAGTGCAAAGAACGGTAATTCAGATTTTGAGAGTTTGGAGTACCCAATTTGAATGATTCAAAACACATTTCACTTGTATTGACAAAATGAACAATTGATTAAATTTTTGGTAAAAATGTCCAGCGGTTTCGGAGATACTGAGAAAAAGTAAAAAATTGATATATGGCAGTCAAAAATGATCACTAGGCATATGTACATCAAATTATCAGATAATTCGTACTAATTTCGTTGGGTTCGGTACCAAAATTGTTAATTTTCAAAGTGAACTTATACAATTCAAGCAAATTTAAAATTTTTTCAAATGCGTTATTCTTATCGCAAGAAATATATTCTCAGGTGGATTTATTTGGCACCTCTTTCTAATGTAAATTTTTTTAAGTGTTTTTAGTGATAAGATCGTTACTGTAAATTTAATGAACTGTGAAATATATAGTGATTATAAATATCTATTTTAAAATGTTAAAAACAATTTGTTATTAATCATTGATCAATATTTATTGATTACTGATTTTTTTCCTCGAATGTTTAATTCTGATCCCGTATCAGAAATTCCAATCAAAGTTCCAGCAATTTGCCTTAAGGTACGATGCCATGCACCACTAGTCTTATTATATTTTTGGACAAAATCTATAAATATTTATACGGTAAAGTTAACTCTGAATCTTGTTATATTAGAAGTATAGAGCACTAATTACACATATATTTGGAGGTATATCAGTATAAAATATTAAACAAAACATAATTATAAAAACCTGCACGCTGCTGATGTTCCGGCCCAAACTTCTTTATCATTTCCACCATCAAAATTCCAATGCATCCGTGCAGACCATGTGCGAGGCACTGCGCCAACATCGCCGTAATTAAGATAGCCCATCCCCAACCGCCTTCAGGATAATAATGCTGCCTTAAAGTCAATAACTGTCTCAAATCCGCCTGTTTAAGTTCTTTCGGTGAAGCAGGAGAAGTGGCATTTCCGTTTGCATCCTCGTGCACTCCTGAGCAACTTGCCACACCTGAATCGGAAAGTTGAGGAAGACTTCGAGTTCGACGCAGAGCGCGCCTGGCCTCGCTGACCGCTTCTTGGCTGAGCGGATGCATCTGATACTCGAAGGAAAATTGAGGTAAATCATTTTTTAGGCATTGTTTGGTAGATTAATTTTATTATCCACGGCGTGATAAAATTTGTAAGGTCCTGGTGGAAGATTGATAGTTCTGATCTTTTTGTGCCATGGGGAAAGGTATTGACTCTGCAGTATTTGGTAAATATTACTTATTTGAAAAATATAGAGTAAATACCAATAATTTCATAGAAAAACACTTAAATCTATCATCACTCTTATATTCACTGCTTTAAGTATCAGTTTGCATCACACATTTATTTCAAGGTATCCGATTTTTTTTAAATAAACTTTATTATGCGATCTGTGCTGATCGAGGTATCAGCAAATTAGTTTTCTAGTATCGATCTGTTTCTAGATTCTAGTAGCGATCTGTGTTGATCAAGGTATCAGCAAATTAGTTTTCTAGTATCGATCTGTTTCTATATTCTAGTAGCGATCTGTGTTGATCAAGGTATCAGCAAATTAGTTTTCTAGTATCGATCTGTTTCTAGATTCTAGTAGCGATCTGTGTTGATCAATGTATCAGCAAATTAGTTTTCTAGTATCGATCTGTTTCTAGATTCTAGTAGCGATCTGTGTTGATCAAGGTATCAGCAAATTAGTTTTCTAGTATCGATCAGTTTCTAGATTCTAGTAGCGATCTGTGTTGATCAAGGTATCAGCAAATTAGTTTTCTAGTATCGATCTGTTTCTAAATTCTAGTAGCGATCTGTGTTGATCAAGGTATCAGCAAATTAGTTTCCTAGTATTGATCTATTTCTAGATTCTAGTAGCGATCTGTGTTAATCAAGGTATCAGCAAATAAGTTTCCTAGTATCGAAATGTTTCTAGATTCTAGTAGCGATCTGTGTTGATCAAGGTATCAGCAAATTAGTTTTCTAGTATCGATCTGTTTCTAGATTCTAGTAGCGATCTGTGTTGATCAAGGTATCAGCAAATTAGTTTTCTAGTATCGATCTGGTTCTAGATTCTAGTAGCGATCTGTGTTGATCAAGGTATCAGCAAATTAGTTTTCTAGTATCGATCTGCTTCTAGATTCTAGTAGCGATCTGTGTTGATCAATGTATCAGCAAATTAGTTTTCTAGTATCGATCTGTTTTTAGATTCTAGTAGCGATCTGTGTTGATCAAGGTATCAGCAAATTAGTTTTCTAGTTTCGATCTGTTTCTAGATTCTAGTAGCGATCTGTGTTGATCAAGGTATCAGCAAATTAGTTTCTTAGTATTGATCCGTTTCTAGATTCTAGTAGCAATCTGTGTTGATCAAGGTATCAGCAAATTAGTTTTCTAGTATCTTTAGTATTTCAAAGAAAATTTATTGTCATCATGCTTAGGGCCTTGAAGTTACTAATAATACATAAATTCCAAATTTTGTTCCACTTATAGCAATCTAATCTATATACCACGCTATATTATTTTAGCAAAAGCACAGTTAACTTATGAACGTATTCGTATAAGAACATTCAAAACTAAATGTCATCCATGAATAAAAACTAGTTATGATACGTATTTCTGTAATTATAACACTACGAACAATCTCACTATATAGACAAGTAATTTCACACACTCATAAATAACGGATTAAAAAATCTTCCTGTACGAACTTGTTTAGAATTTTAATTATAAATATATTTCCATCCGTTCCACGAGGTAGACGGTTTGGCGGATAAGCGTGCACTGATTGTTCGCGAATCTTGCGGTGGCAGCGAAGGAAATCTGCCCCGAGCCGGCGAAGGGTTTGGCGGGAGAACTAAACAAGCGAAGCGGCATGCTCGCGACATAATACCGCGCAAGTGCGCTTTTGTGATTGCAAGTGCCAGATGCACGTGGCTATTATGTGTATGCCGGAGCAGTTAATGTTCCAACTGCGGCGAGCTTTAGCACTTGTAACGGTGGAAACGCCTTATGTCATTAGGAAGAAAATGTAACCGAGATGGAGTCGTATGATGGTAATGTATTCAAACAAAATTTTAATATAATGCATTCTTGTGAATTTGCCGATTTCGATATTAAACAATATTTTGATAATAAAATGCCTACTGATGATATCTGATACATTTTTCCAACAGTTACAATTATTTTTTTCTTTTTCCATTTTTTTTCTAATTTTTATTCCAAATTATTTTAACGTTTTTCTATCCTAAGTATTTTATCATTACAATTATTTTCATAGTATATTCTTATTATTATACTGCCTTTAATTACTATTTTCCAGATATTGGACTTGGATATATAAAACGGATATTTAAAGGAATTTTTTACCATCAGAATCTCAAGATTAACAAGCCTTAAATAAACTATCTCAATATTATATTAATTTTTTCTTCAAGTTATTGCATTACATAATACTATTGTTAGGCTTAATATTGTTTTAGAGTTGGATTTTACTGTAAATAAAATAATTTATATTAATTATTTTATATTAATAATTCAATTTATATCCTGCAATTACCTACTAAATTTAATCCAGCATTCGTAATATAAATAAATATAAATAAAATACATAATAATAATATTCGTTTATATATAATAACTAATGGTGCTTCACTTCCCGTGCTTAACTTTCCGTACTTAGATTACATTTTTCAAGAAAGTTTCATTTTTTTGAAACTTTGAAAAAATTAGATTTTTGAGAATCTTGAAATTTTTGAATAATATGATTACTTTCACTTTTTTATTGGATCACCAAAACCAATAGACCTGTCTGTCCACATATTTTATCAGTTCTTCATTTCATAAATACAAATAAAATGTTTGAGCAATCATTCAAATCGGACGCTCCATTCTCTCAAAAACTGAATTACCATTTTGTCCCGTATTTTAGAAACGACTGGACCTGCCTTTGCCAAAACCTAATCAGCACGTCTCCTAGAAATCGAATGTGTTTTGAATCATTCAAGTCGGTTGATTCGCGTTCTCGAAATCATAACGAAAAAATGTATGCGCACACACATACATTCATTTTTCTAAGGCATGCCAGAATGTTCAGAAACCTTTGAAAGGTTAAGATATATAAAAATTTCCATTACCAATTTTTTGCGATAACTATAACTTACCTCACGGGAAGTTAATAATGCATTTATTTATATCTAATAATATATGCATTTATTATACCTACATGGAAGCGAATATACACTAAAAATTTGTAAACAAATTAGGTGTAGTATGTAAATAATCGATTTAATCAATAAATATTTAAATTGTATATGATCCACCAGTCTAACAGTCTTCTTGTTTGTTTAAGAGACACCTGTCTGAAAGTCTACCTATCTAAGTTTATCCACTTCGTCAACCTGTCCACACGTTTACCTGCCTACTTCTCCACGAGTCTACATTTCTGCATGTCTACCTATCTACCTGTCCACTTGATGCTCCCTTGTTTCAAAAACTATAATTATTTGCAATTTTTGCCATGTATCTCCGAAACAGGTGAACCTACACATACACATGAACATAAATATACATACACCTTTTTTTTGAAGTATGCTAAAATTTTCAGGAGGTCTTGAAACATAAGATTATGCAAAAAAATTCATTTTCGATTTTTTGCAACTTTTGTAATTACCCCATGGAGAATTAATTATAAATTTTAAGAATTTTCAAAAACAAACTTCACGGGTAAAGAATGTCACATATACTGAATTGCTGAAAGGCCATTTTGTGACGATATTATTATAGTTGTTGTAGTGATGTTATAATGCCCTGTAAGGCTATAACTAATTCTAATAAATTTTTAGATCTAAATTTTCAAGTAAAAACTGATACCGCAGAAACAGCAGAAAATAAAACCTTATAATTGCTTAGCCAAAATTCATACTACTTGAGCCACAAACAAGCCCTGGATATGATATTAAATACAGGAACATATTTATTATCATGGATCAGAAATACTTTGTTTTAATCAATTATTTAGCCATTTTTAGCACAATTTATAATGATAATAAAAAGAACTTTGAATTTATCATGGATATTAGTATTATTAGGATAGTATTTAACTATGTACTCATAGTTTGTTTGGCCATTTGGATATTGTGCTTTATAAAAATAGAGAGTTTTCACAGGCAGTTGAGTCAAAATCGAAAACAATATCAGCAATAGGTACATTGTTATTATTTGTGTTAATGCTAAGTATATACAATTGATAGGTTGTGGACAATAAGCTAAAAACCAAATAGGTTTTTGCCTCAAAATATGTTATATTTTTATGGCGTGAAAGACGATGAAAAATTGATTCAAGGAGAATTTGATTTTCATATTAAAATAAATATCTGCTGAAAACACGCTTCATAATTACCAAAATATATAGCTCATTGAGAAATGAAGTTTTATTTCTCAAAATGTTCAAAGAATTATGCAGTTGTACTGATTGTTACTAATAATTAAATCAAATATTATTATTCTCTGTAATTAATTTTTGTTTTTCACCAATTTTCGGAATTATATAAACCAACTCACATAAAAACTTAATTATTTCAGCATGTTGATGAAGCAATAAATTAACTGTATTATTAATTATATAGATAACATATTGATTTAAGTCGCCATATGTGCATGTATATAATAAATTTATCTACAATATCATATGAGTTTTTCGCAAAACATTTTTAGAGTATAAATAGATATAGAATTCAGACAAAAGATATTAGGTATTAGAAATAAAAATTGATTTCATTACATTTTCATTACAGTAACTAATTATAGTTATAAACAGATAATAAATTTCTCTACAATATCACACGAGTTTTTTCGCAAAACATTTTTAGAGTGTAAATGGTAATAGAATTTAGACAAAAGTTATTAGGTATTAGAAATCGAAATTGATTTCATTTTATTTTTATTATAGTAGGTAATTAATTATAGTTAACTATACTTTTATATTATGAAGGTAAATAACTAACTATAGAATTGATTTGTGTTTCTTAAAACGTACTGAAATTTAATATTTTTAATAATGTTGTTCATAAACTCACAAAATGCA